TAGTCATTTGAGTTTAAGTTATCTCACTCGTCTTTTGAAAATAATTAAAAAATATAAACAAATTATTTTGCAACCGTTTTGATGGAAATTTTCAAATTTTCAACTTATCAGGATTGTTACTTCTCACGATGTCCTTTTTGTAAAACCAAATTAGCCTCAAAAGATTTTGGAAAATTTGTAACATGAAAAGAATTTAAATTATGTTACACAATTCAAATAAAAAATTAATTTTATAGAAAATAAAATCTTAACTGATTTTAAATTCCTAAATATTAGGACATATTCAATAAGGAAAGATTTAATTAGCAGAATTTTAGTTGTATTAGGAAAAAAATTAAATGATTATTTTGTCTAGTGTGAGCTCTTTTTTAAAAGGGTAAAAAAGATGAACGATATTTCGCTAAGGACCTTCGTGCTTTAAATATAGTATAGATATAGATATAGATAATAATATAAATATAAATATAAATGGACCTACAATGAAATTAATTGGGTCTTCTCAGTATGACGACGCCTAATGAAAACACATACATATTGGTTCTTGCACGGTGTCTATAGCGATGAGTTGCGAAATTAGTGATTAAGTCATGCTTTCAAAGATAGCCAAAAAAAATTATCAGTAATATATAATATTCAAAAGGCCTACAAAAAGAAAAGAAAAAAAAAGAGATTCTTTTTCAATGGTTATGTTGGAATTTGCTAAAAACACATAAACACACGTAGACGAGACAATACACAAATTTTAAAAAGATTGGAGGTAATTGGACTTATTTGGAGTCAAAATTCATAGTTAAAATCAAATTTAAAAATTTCTCTACGACGCATATCTAACGTGTATCTCACACACATCTATACATGGATGTATAAGAGATACACAAGAAATACATATGGGACATACACATGATATACATGGGTGATACACTTTGCATCTTATTCCATGTTCATCTCCTACTTCGAACTTAGCTCAAATTTCAATTGATACTCTCTCAAATTTCTATCACATCATTCCAAAATTGTGATTTAATCTCCTTGAGATGTACCCTATATATTTCAACAACACACGCTCAAAACAAATTTCAGTTTCAGAAATTGAACAATGAGAATACTATTCTTTATCTTCTGTCAGGAAACATATGATAAATCTTTTTGCTTTTTGTTTTTTCATTTTTACTTTCTTGTAACTATGGTATCTACGATTTATTATTCAGTTTAGTTCTAGATTAGTTGCAAGTTTTTGGATTTGGAAAACTCCATTTTGTATTTATAATTTGACTGGTCATTGATGTAGAATGTCATGTCACAAAAACTATATATTGGATTGAGCAACGAAATGATCAATCTTTATTTATATGCATATTGCATATGGTTTACATTTGCTTTTTTTTTTTTTACTAGATAGACTAAAGAGAGGGACACGCATATAAATATTTAATTGGGCTAACATTAGTATAAATTTGTAAATAATTAATTAATGTTAATAGTATTTGTGAATTAACTAATATTGGTGGTACTTTTGCTCTAAAGGGCCAAATCGAGTAGAAATGGTGTGGGATAGCCACTTTTTAACATGGTAATTTTTATCCAGTATTTTTAATGCTGAGCAAAAATAGTCACAACTCTATTAAAATTAGGCGAAATACATAAACGGCCCCTCTAAGTTGTCCACAACGACCAGACAAACACCTCAACTAAACCCTTTACCATTTAGACACTTCAAGTGTCCATTAACCAGATCAAATAAACATATATTTCTGATGTGGTTTGCGCGTGTTTGCTAACAGAATTTTAAGCGCGTGAATCATTTTTTCAACCTAATTTTTTTTTTTTTGAAAAAACCTAAGAATTGGGCGTATCTTAGCCTCTCTTCAACCCATGTCAACCTCACCGTGAAACCACCATTAAGACCAGCCACAAAAACTCCAACCAAGCCACCGAAAATCACCAGAAACTTTCCGATTTTAACTGCGACAGATTAATTATTGACTGAATAAAGTTTTGTGATGATGGGCAAACTAGAGAAGGGTTAATGTTCTTATTGTTTGCCCCTTCTTGGATGTGCACTTTCCTATGTCGTCTTCCTTTTCTCCCATGTCATTTTGTTCAATTCATCTCTCCATAAATAAACAAAGAATCCAGTAATAATCAACAACAAATAGTAGCAGTAAGAAAGACTCAACAGCGGCCATGACTACTGCCGCCCATAAAAGTCGTCGGCTCCGGCAATATATAACAAAATAATTTCACATATTAGGGAATTAAAGCATCAAAGTAGCAGCAAAAAAATAGCTACAACAGCAGATTCGGCGACGGCAACTCTGGTCAAGGAAGCAGAGTTGGGAGATGAGGTAGGAGAACCGCTGGGAGAGGCACTGATGGATGGTGGAGGAGCACCACCGGAAGGAGATGAAGCCGGAGTATCGACGGTTGGTGGAGCTGGAGGAGATGCCAATGGAGATTCAGATGGAGAAGAAGCGGTAGTAGGAGCATTAGCAGGAGAAGAGATAGGTGTTACTGCAGATAGAGGAGTCGCCACCGGAGGTGACGATGCTACAGGTGGTGGAGAACTCTTTGGAGAAGCTGCCGGAGTTTTTTATTTCTTAAATGCATTTTTATTTTTTTGTTTATTGTATGTGTCAAATTTCTATTTACAAATTACACGTGTCGTTCATTAATTGGCTCATTTGACACGTCATTAGCGAGTGTAATTCACGTATATGATCTGTTGCACTTGAGTATTTATTTGATCTGGTTAATGGACACTTGAAGTGTCTAAATGGTAAAGGGTTTAGTTGAGGTGTTTGTCCGGTCGTTGTGGACAACTTAGAGGGGCCGTTTATGTATTTCGCCTTAAAATTAATGCGAAAAGATGTTTTTACCCTTTCTTCATGAGTGCTATGTAAATATTAAGGACATGGTGTCCTTAACATTTACACTGCACTCATGAAGTTAAGGACGCCACGTCCTAATTAACATTTGCACTACACATATGAAGTTAACGACATGATGTCGTAAAGTTTAACAATGGAAGGTGCAAATGCAGGACACTTTGTCCTTAATATTTACACAGCATTCATGAAGTTAAGGACACCATGTCCTTAATATTTACACAACGTGCATAAAGTTAAGGACACTATGTACTTAACATTTACACAATACACATGAACTTAAGGACACCATGTCCTTAATATTTACACTGCACATATAAAGTTAATGACATGAGGTCCTAAAGTTTAACAACAGAAGGTGCAAATACAAGTTAAGGACATTATGTCCTTAACATTTACACTGCACACATAAAGTTAAGGACGCCATGTCCTTAACGTTTACACTGCACATATGAAATGAAGGACACGATGTCCTAAAGTTTAACAACGGAAGGTGCAAATACATGGCACGTTGTCCTTAATATTTACACAACATTTATGAAGTTAAGGATACCATGTCCTTAATATTTACTCAGCACCCATGTCTAGCACAGGGATATTTTCGTCCGGCAGATAAAAATTTATTAAGCACTAGCTAAAGAGTAAATACATTTTAAACAGTGGCTAAAAAGTAAAGACAACTCTAATTAGTTGTTAACTGTGCACTTCAGCAGTTTTGTCTTTGAAGAATCACCCTTTGTTAACCCTTTGTGCTGGTTTTCGAAGCATCCTAAGCCCAATCTAAATATATGTTAGACTAACGAAGTTGGGGGTTAAAATATCATGGTATAGCCAGTTTTCACACTGGTCAATGAAAAATAGCCAGCATTTATCAAGTCAATGAAAAATAGCCACTATTTTGCTGCAACAGGGACCGGTCCAGTATAATATACGGGAGTTCTGGTGCATTTGTGCACGAACTCCAGCATATTATGCTGGACCGGTATACTTTGCTAACTCCTGTAAAATTTGCGGGAGACTGGAGCACCAGTGCTCCAAACTCCAGTATATTATACTGGACAATTATACTTGCTGGAACTCCCGTAAAATTTGCGGGAGTTCCAGCATAGTTATCCTGGAACTCCAGTAAAATTTATGGGAGTTCAAGCATACTTATGCTGGAACTCCCATAAAATTTGCGGGCGTATTTTTCCGGATTTTGAACAGTGTTTTCGCTCAGATTTAAAGTGGCTAAATTTCGATGACTTTTGAAAATTGGCTATTTTTCAACGACCAATGGTAAATCTAGCTATTTTTGAATTTCTCCCAAGTTGGGGCCAATATAAAACAACTGCCAGAAAATGGGCGAAGTGCACAAATAGCCGAATTTCAGGCCACGATTTAAGTCGTAGCCATTTTCATAAAATTATTTAAAGTGTGATAAGTTTAGAGTAGCTTATTAATATTTGGACAAAAAAATATTTATAATATGGGTGTGAACTTTGAACTCATGTGTTCAAAGTTTGTGCTGCTGCAAGAGAACTTCATATACGTGGGTCTGAAGTTTGCACTGCTACAAGCGGCTTTCAAACTCAAATATCTGAAGTTAATTTGCACTGTGTTTACCTCGAAAATACGAGTAACAATTAAACTTGGTTTTGTGATTTCAAAGATACGTGATTTAGTTCAATACCAATTAATAATCAAGTAATATGAAATAGAAACGAAAGATAGAAGTGAATCAAACCAATATTAGCCAACAGTAGTGGCCTCGAGAAGGTGACCTCGAGGTGGCTTAAGGTAGTAAGAACGATTAAGTAAGAGAGTCAAAATAAGAACAATTTAAGCTAAGGAACAGTTCTGATGAACAACAGGCAAAAGTAGAGAGTATATTCTTTGCTCAATAAAAAGATGATCTTACAAATGATTGAGGCCCCCCTTATATAGTGGGGGAACCCTAAATAAGAAATATTTCTATTTACAGTAGGGAATATTCTTGGTACAACTTTCTAACCGTCTAGTACGGAATTGTACAATCATATTCCGTGATTTGCGCTATGACTTTGGGGATGTGGACGAAATCTAGCTCGTTCTAGTACAGATCCATAACGGTGCTATTTCAGGGTTGAGCACACCTGACGTCGGCGTTCCTCGAACTCCTGCTTCCGGGCACTACACTCTATCTTCAAGCTTGAGTCTGGTTCATCTGTTTCGACCTTGACCTTCTTCGGACTTGAGCCTGGGGCGGAACCTCGAGCTTCTACATCAGGGGTATATGATTTTGACTGTATACAGATAGTCCCCGTGTTTCATAGAATAAGATGATAAGAAACGATTTGCATCTCGACCTCCCCGAGCTTCTCATGTTGATGTCATTTTTGTGACGTAGGCGCTTGAAACGACCGAAAATGTCACATCGGCGCTCTTCCCCAAAACATCAAATGCGTGTCAGCGTTGGTTGGCCACTAGCGCCGCTGATCCGTCACCGCCTTTCTATAAATAGGAGGCTATTCTGCTAAACAAAGAACTGCACCTTTCACATCTTTATCTACTTTTGATCTTCTCCCTTTCTTGCTTCCTTCTTCAACCGTTTATTTCCATGGTTCAAACCTGTGAACACAAGGTCACATGAAAGCAATTTTACCAGTTATGCCAAGGTTCTCTTTTTCAAAGCTTCGATTTAAAACAACGCGAGAAGGACGTTGGATCCTTCTCGCATCAGAAAATACGCGAACTTTTCATTGTTGCTCATCTCTCTTAACTTCAACCTGGTGTAGCACTTCATTCCTTTTGCTCTCCATAGAATGAGGTGGCACTGTCGTCTACTAACTTTTGCATCCTACCCCAAAAATGTGTCCCAAGGATAAAAAATTCTTGGGTCGTTGCTTGTGCATCTTATAACCCTTTTGATTTTTCTTGTGATAGAAGGTGAATCTACATCTTCTGGTCTCTTCTTTTGCTGCTCCTTTTTTAGCGGACTATGTCCCAAAATTTCAACGGAATGCTCAATCCCTGTTGCTGGTAATATAGTTACATTCTTCGAGGGTTTTCTTCCCTAAGTCTCTTCGGGCGTACAGACATTTTTCAAAGATCAGAAGTGGAGTCCCCGGGGAGGAGGTTCCCGAAGATGGTGCTCTCGAGGACACGACCTTAAGAGTAGATTAGGTTGTTAGCCTTTGTTTCTTGTTTCTTTGTTCTTTCGAGAATACCCCTTAATAGACATCGTAGTTATATTGTGTAACCATCTCTTGTAAATATAAAAGGATCTCTTTGTCTTACTTTTTGGCTCGTGTTGAATTTTCATTCCATCTTTATCTGCGAAAAAATTCAATGGCATAACTTTGGTGACTGGCCCGAACACTGGACTCAAAACACAATATACCCTAAGGTTTTAATCGATCAATACAATACCCCTTAAGGTTTTTGTTAACCCTCGAGCCAGGCTCAAGTTGATTTGATGCGAGCTCGAGACACCGATGCTTTGAGTTCGAGCTGAGTGAAAGTAAGGTTTCGAACTTGAATTAAAGTTAGCCCTTAGGCTTTGTAAACAGTCCCCGAGTGAGAATTTTCTCACAATTGGGTAGCCCGTGGGCTCAATAGCCGAGCTAGAACTCGATCGAGCTCGAAATAGGTCGATAAAAAATGGATTAATCTTCAACGCCTCGATCCTGGCGCCAATCTCGTGACATCAGCAGCTGAAGTGACTGATGTCGACGCCCCCTTTTTCTCGCGAAATCGGGTTTACGACATTCGGGAAGACAACTCTATTCCCGTTTGGGAATTGGGTTTTTGGATTTGAAGAGTCGTCACCTAATGATTAAGTGCATTAGGACACTAAGGGTTTTTGAGTGGGAAAACTAGAGTTCGGGTAAGGGCTAGAAATTATCTCGAGGGAGAAGGTGTTAGGCACCCCTCAAGATCCACTAGTGTGGTTCCCCGCCATGCTATGTTGTGACTTTAATGTAAACAAGTATGCAAATAAATTTACACATAAGTATTGCTAACAAGCATGTTGGAACTTATAAACAAAGAAGGAAAAGGGATAATGCAGTAAAAAAATAAAGGGGAGTTTTGGGTGATTGAAAAGACAGAATTTGTTGATATTAAACAAAGTAACATAGGGCAAAGGGTCCTAGGTTTATAAACCACATGGATAATCCACACAACACCGGTAACCAATCGTACGCGTAGTGTTATCGTGTGATCATCATCTCCATGTCTACCCTTCCCACCCCGATAAGGTATTAAGCGCGAAATGGTGTCGTTACCTACAGCGTGCTATTACCCGTCCCACCTATCAGTCCTGGAGGCTTTAGGACCACTAATCCTAAAGGGAGGGAGCTTGGCTTTTCAGAGGTTCAAAAGGTTAAAATACTAAGGCGTCAGGCAAAACACATAAGACAATTATGGGAGCACAAAAGCAATTAAGGCTCAGACAAACCTCCTTTAATCACAGAAATCATGTAGTTTAGCACGTCTTACACATACTGATTAGGTCCAAATTATGCTTAACGTTAGGCAGGTTGGTTCATTACACATTTTTAGACAAGAAGTTCGCATTAGGCTCGCCTGGCTGCAACTTATCGAAGACTGGTGCAATTAATTAACTACTTACTTGTTTCCCTAAGTGATGGTATNAAATCATGTAGTTTAGCATGTCTTACATGTACTGATTAGGTCGAAATTATGCTTAACGTTAGGCAGGCTGGTTCATTACATATTTTCGGGCAAGAAGTTTGCATTAGGCTCGCCTGGCTTCAACTTATCAAAGACCAGTGCAATTAATTAACTACATACTTGTTTGCTTACGTGATGACCTATAGGCATGGCATCACTGGTTTCAGGAATAAAGAAACAAACTGATTAAGAAAGTTGCCAGTTTTAACAGAATGGTGCGAGTTCTGTAATTAGTACTAATCTTAAAACGAGTGATTCAGATTTGATTGATAGTTCCTATAGGCATGCTTTCTAGCATCGTTAATTTAAACACTTTTTACAGGCGTAGCAAGAGCGCAGAAATCCTATAGGCATGGTATCTGAATATTGTTAGTTTTTTAATCCTATAAATAGGTTTTCCTAGTGACCAATGCATGCGTAGAGTCTGGATTTCTGGTTACTTATAGGCGTGGTATCCATATGGAGATGCAAAATTCCTATGGACATGGTATCTATATGGATGCATAAACCTTTAGACATGGTATCTATATCTGCAAAAGTGCAGAAACCCTACGGACATGATATCTATGTGGAGAAGTGCAGAAACCTTATAGACATGATATCTACATGTGATATGCAAATGTGCAAAGCTGTAGGCAAGATACATGAGTACAGAAGTGTGGTAATTCCCTATGAGCATGATATCTACCCCTTTGCATGCATGGTTATCCTTCCCTTTTCACTAATCACCCCAGAGGTTATTACAAAGTTTTATTACAATCAGAACTCTTAAGCTGCATCCAAGGAGCCTAATTCAAACCCAAGGTCTAATAATATGATATGAGCCAACTGCTAGGATCAGGTTCCAAAGCCTTTCTCTTATCCGGGATGTGTCAAAGTTCCAAGGAGTTTCAAGAACTCCAGGAAATGCTCCCACATAGATATCATTGCAGAACTGAGTTAAAGTGCAGTGTGGAAGGGCCAGCCCTCCAATGTCCAAGTTCAGAGGGAACTCAAGGTCCCAAGGCAAGGCTCATTGGAGGGGGGCAGAACTTAGAATCTAGGAACAAGTGTAAGTGCAATAGAGGGAATTAAGGAATGCTAAGGCAGACTGGTGGTCATGCCCAGTAACATAGAATGCTGGCACACCCCTGACCAGCCCACTAGCCAAACATTGGAGAGTCGGGACCTATTGAAGGTCAAACCATGGCCTGGGCAGTAATTGGGATACTGTCAGGCCAAGGTTTCAACTCGACACATAAAGGGGATTAGGGGTAGGGATTCATATGAGAACAGAAGCAAAGAAAGGAAAAATACTTAGCATAAGTTACGAAGCATGAACAGCAAACCACACAAAAGAATGAGACTACAGAATAAACACATAGGGATGAGGCAAAAGTTTAAATAAAGGCATACCGGTTTCAGAAAGAGACAAACAAAAGAGAGCAGAAGTCTTGCAAAGAAGCCACAACACAAACAGCAAGAGAGAATACTTTGTGTGTGAGTGTGAGTGCAGAAAAGACTCCAGTGTTCGTGTTTTTGTTTTTTTGTTGTGTTGGGTGTTAATAAAAGAGCAGGTATTTATAGTGTGAGAAACATGCAGAAATAAGGTAAGGACTGTAATTCAGACATAATTGGAGGAATATGTGTCTTATTAAAATCAAATCAGTATCAAAGACTTCCTTTAATAAAGCAATTAAACCAAACGGTAGCATGCAAGTGTTAAATAAGGAAAGAAATCACGCAGGGCTGGACATGACAAATAAGGAAATATTTTCAGCACAGTAAGAGTATACCACATGTATTAGGGGTTAAGTTCATTAGACCTTAATTATGGAAAGGCCTGTAAGAATCCCATACTAATGTAATTAAGGTAATGGGATCAAATCAACTTAAGTAGAAAGGCTGGGTCGAAAGGAAAATATTTCAACAAGTCCAAGAAACAAAGGAAATCAAAACAATAAAGGAAAGAATCAATTCAAGAGTGCAATCAAAGTTACACAAAGAGATTTGAAATCAGTCCACAATCAAGGTTATTTTGAGAGGGAAATTTGACCTATAAAGAGTGCATAAACATTAAGCATGCGAGGCTGGATTTAAGACAAAGAAGAGTGTCATGCAATCAAAGAAAATCAGTGAGTAGAGGACCATAGGAACATGGTAGTCATCTCAGAGAAGAGGGAATAACATGCGAAAGGTCAAGTAAAGAGGTCAGAATCGTATGAAGAAACAAAGTTGACACAAAGATTTCGAAACTCAGTCGAACAGTAGAGGAAACAACTTCAGGAACTCAAATAGGTCCAAAGAGACTAGGGTTTTGAAATCAACTCGTTCAGAGATAAAAAACAAACAAATCACATAACAAATAACCTCAAAACTCGAATGAACCCCAAATTCTAGGGTTTTTACCATTAGTCGAGTCTAGAGATAAAGACAAGTAAGTCGGGCAAAAATATTAACGGAATAAGAGCAGAAATCATAAAGGAACACGTATTTCCCAGTAGAAGAAACTCATGAATAACATAATAAAGAACAATCATGCAAAACATACAGTAGAAGAACTCGTAAGAACAAGGTAGAAGAAACACAATAGAAGAAACACATAAGGATCATAAAAGAGACATAACAG